TTATCAAATTACTTTTCTATGATAGTATATAAAAGTACATACATATATATGAATAATTTCTTACCGTAACAGCAACCATTAGAATTGTGAAAAATTGATAAGAGGAATACAAAATAGAAATCATCTAAGTAATACTATTACTTAGATGGTTTGAGAAATTAGACATAACATAAAATATAAAAAAGATAAAGAAAGAGGAGGCGCTATAAGAATTTGTCAAGAAACCACACCATTTTCTTAACTCGCTTATGATTAACTTGTATTTTGTTAAATATATTATAAATTTATATAATTGCTTAGACGAACTTCGATTAAACTAGTAAAATGATATATACAGACGAATTTATTAAAATGAAAAATATCTATATAGTCAAACTAATCGATTTCTCATCTTGATGTAAATTTCCCGCTCTTCGAAGAATTTGATTACGTAGTAGAAAATAAGAGTAATATTAAGCTACTCGTCCAATAGAAAAATCTCATATTTTTTACGAAAAATAATTCTAAAGTATAATAGTTAAATCGTATTAATATTAAAATATATAATTGATGACGTTTTCTCTCATTAAAATAATTTTTTTTTTTTACTATATCAATGTGAGAAAGAAAAAGGAGCAAGAAATATCGTATTTCAATCTGAATGAATTTTGTAACCAAGTATTCCATCTGGTAACTTTATATTTTTAGTCGGACATTTTCTTCATAAACCGCCTCGCAACTGGCGTGTTTGATCTTTGGTGGTTGAAAGGATAAAGGTTATTCTTACGAAGAAATGGCACAAACAATAGATATATTTGTCGAACAAAATTATGAAGCCGTAATATCACGCTTAACTACAATTCTTAAGACAAATTCCGACGAAGCAATCGCCCGCGATGATATTTTCAAAATTGGATTATCAGGTGATTAGTATATTTCAATTTACAAACCGTTTTAAGAATCTCTTTTCCCTCTCTCTCTCTCTCTCTCTCTCTCTCTCTCTCTCTCTCTCTCTCTCTCTATTCCTGATTTCTTTAATATTTATTTCAATTAGGTTGTATAGCAAAGGTTTTTAAATTTAATGTCATCTATACGTTATGAATATGTTTATGTGATTCTTTAGTAGTAACTATTCTCTAAATACATTATTTTTAATGATATTTGAAGATTTATTGATTGAGATTTACAATTATTAGGAGGATCTTTTGTAAATATATTGGTAAAGACTTTACCCAATGTTTCAACCGATTGGAGCAAATGGCGTTTTTTTTTCTGCGATGAAAGAGTCGTCCCTTTTGAAAATGGAGAATCGACGTATGGATCATATAGAACGAGTCTTATCGGGGTAGTTCCTATAACTGAAGATCAATTTATCAAAATTGATCCTGAACTTTCAGGTATATATTAATGTTTTTTATTTGTCTTTGTATATGTGTTTATGTTCATATTTGTAATTCATCTGAAAAATTTCTTTATTCTATCTAATTGACTTTTTTTAGCTGAAGAAGCTGCAAGGGATTATATAAAAAAAATGTCTGTCTATTTTCCACCCGATAGTTTACCAAAATTTGATGTATTATTATTAGGATTGGGACCGGATGGACACACGTGTTCTTTGTTTCCTAATCACAAACTTCTAGATGAGACAAGTTTATGGGTTTGTCCTATTAATGATTCTCCTAAGCCTCCATTATCTAGGATTACATTCACATTTCCTGTTATTAACAATGCTAGAGCATGTGTTTTTGCTGTATTAGGAGATAGCAAAGCTAAGATAATCAAGGTAAATATTATATAACTTTATTATGTGAATTAATTTTCAAAATTATATTTTTTTACAATGCTTAAGTGCACGCGTGCATAAAAATCTTGTTAAATTTGATCATTTTATATTTTTCGTATGGCGTTTCGTCTAATTCTAGAAAATCCTGAAAGATAATGAAAATTTACCGGCTGCTCGAGTCGAGCCAACCAATGGTTCCTTATATTGGATTTTAGATGAAGAAGCAGCTAAACTTATGGACTAAATTTCAAATTAAGAAAATGGATAAGATATTGATTTAAGTGTTGTAACATTCCATGTTGTATTTTTCTTCAATGCTCGCCATGCTCTACGTTTTTTGAGCTTTTTATTTTGTATACGCATACAATTTGCATAAAATAAGATCTAATTAGATAGAAACTTTACAATTAAACTGTTAATAATTCTAAATGGCCAATATTCATTTTTATTTATTTTACATAAAACGTCTAATTTATTTTGTTATTATTATTATTATTATTTCTGTTGAATTTTTGTTGCATCATCGATATGTTGAATTTAGTTATTTCAACGACAGAAAACGCACGTAGAAATAATATGCCGATAACGCATATTCTTAGATTAGTCCTATGCCCAATTAAATTTCTGTCTTTGAAAAGATTAATGCGTATTATGTAAGTAAACAAGAAAAGAAAGAAAAAGAAGAAAAACAGAAAAGCTATTATCATCTTGAGGGAACATTTAATTTATGAAACATTTGTTCTTTGTCATATACTATACTTGATATATCTTTCAAATTTAGGTGTACAATGCATATATCTGCATTGTCGTAACAAAAAGATTGTTATATTTTACATCTAAGGTAGATTACACGCTGAGTTGCCTTATGCATCGAGGCTTAGGATATAATAAACATGCCGGAATGTGAATTAAAAATGAAGAATCTAGTCTGCACCGTCTACCTATTTTATTATCCATTTTATATATATTAAGATTAGCGGCCTTTGAAAACGAAGGATTTTATGCAAGTCTTGAAAATTTTTCTAAAAAATTTATTTCTCATGGAAATATATATGTATATAAATATATACTCTTTACAATGATGCATAATTTATCGAATAAAAACATCTATATAAATAAAATTAATATAAAAAATCAGGCTATTGGTACTCAATTAAAAATGATTAATATTATATATATAGACGAGTCTTCCTAATTCCTATTTAGAAGTTTTATCATTAGATTTTAAACTGGGATTTTAACAAAGATTAAATTTATCAACTTAATTTTGTATTCAAATAGATTTCGAATTATGTGAAATTACTTACTTTTTCTTAATAACGCAAGAAGGAGTTTATTTTTCAATTTTAATAATATTCGTAATACTATTTGGATACAGAATTAAGTGGAATAAATGAAAAGTACTGAGGTAAACGGCATTGTATTTGATTGACAGATCACAAATAATATTCTTTGGTGATTTATATATATATACATATGTACGTATGTTCGTACATATGATCATTTTTAAATAGCAGGGGATAATATCTATATACATCTCTGCATACTTGTAAAAAGAATAGCACGATCTAATATGTGTATATTTATGAATTGCACACGCCGTAAGTCAAATATTTTACTAACGGACCATTTAGGAACCAAATTTTTCTAATTATTTGTAAATTATATTTATTTTTACTAAAAATAGTTATATTCCGGTGTACATGAATAAAGTGGAATAAAAAGAGTGAAAAAAAAGAATAAAAAAAGAATAAATAGAAAACCGATTAATCTTGCGTCGCATCCTTCATTAACAATCAAGTCAGTTTTATTGTACTAAAAAAATATGTATGCGCTAAGCATTTAAAAGCATTAAGATTCCCTGCATTACATTTTAACAAAATCATTCTTCTTTTGATTTTTTTCCAATGACTTACAATGACATATAAATATGCAATAATTACGTTTTTGTTTTAAGATAACAATATTACACACGTATAAAGTGCTTGCAGTATAAATGCTACAGCCTGTAGTCAAACTAAAGCAGCCTAATAAATTGAAGCACATCTGTTTACATTATTTTTCGTACATAAAACTAACATTGGATTTTTATTTACGTATTTACGCAAAACTCGCTGTGTCATGCCTCGAGATTCTTATCATTGCTTTTCAATTATTTTCCACGTTCAAATAAACAAAAAAGCAGATATAAAAAACATATAGATGCCCAGCAACAGTAAACCGACGAGCTCTAGCTTCTTTTCAGTCAGTCTTATTAAATTATTGTTTTCCACGAGTAGTTAATACGAAATTACGAGGATAAAATAAACACGCGGAAAACAAAGAAATTAAGGCGGCGACGTAACTGAAGATATAATACAAAATTTAAGAAGAACAAGTTGTTGAGCTGTCTTTAAAACATCCTTTTTTTTCAGATGTCTCTAATGTAGAACATTTTCTGCACTTTCATATAATATTTAATTGTACACGCTTATAATACATATAATATACACAGCTTGTTTGAAAAATTATTAATTAGGGAATGAAAAGTTGGAACAAATGTGTGTGTGTTGCATTTGAAATTATAAATAAAGAGCACTAAGCTCGACGAATAAATCAATACACTAGTACAAACTGAAACATAGTTTTTGTTAATATATGATTCAATGTAAGACATAGTAATACATCATGAATAATTTCTACTTAACTCAACGTTCACATATGTTTGAGATTTTTCTCTAGTTCATAATCTTGTTATACATTGAATCATAAACATAGCTTATAATCATATTTTTATCACAGCATATAATTAATATTATTAACATAATTGGATTCTTATATTAACCAGAATCATTTCTCGTGTAACATTTAAATGTACTTTGAAAACAAGTTTAGATAATATTTTATTTCAAGGGAGATTAATAGCACAATAAAGGAAATGAAAGGAAATGAAAGAAAACCAATAGAAATAAACATGTACATAAAAGGAACTGACTTTTTATAGTATCAATACTGACTGTCAACATTTGTAGATGTTTAAAATAATGAAATATAATGAATTTGTCCAAAACATAAAAAGTCAACTAATTATTATACATACTAATACTTTAGCACAAACAGAATATTTTGTACTGTTGGTTTCTCCTTTTTTCTTTTTCAATGAAAGTCGACAAACTGTACGAATATAGATATTCTTTTCTTAAGGTTTTTCTTGAAAAAAAAAAAAAAAAAAAAAAAAAAAAAATTTTAAAAAAAAAAAAAAAAAAAAAGTATTTGACTTGCCTCTTTGTTTTAAGATAAATAACGTATTACAAATGCACCACTCCCTACAGCAATTTCCACTTGTATTGTCAACTATATTTTTCTGTTTTTCTTTTTCTATCGTTTCCGTCAGCTTTTATATTTTTATTATTCAATAGTTGCACGTTTGACTAACGTTTCATTTTCCTTTTCTTCGTTTTCAATAATTCTTGAATAACCTGTGTGACGGAGAAGCTTCGAGTTTTTAATAAATAAGCAATGTAAGTGAAAATGAGCGAGAGAGAGAGAGAGAGAGAGAGAGAGAGAGAGAGAGAGAAATAGATAGATAAATAGATAGAGACCGGTAACGGTAAATTACACAAGGTGCAAATCCGATGGTCATTCGAACTTTTACCGAAATATCTCTTACACGATTATAATTAGGGAATAATTTAATTAAATTAATATCTCCTAGTGTGTATATTTATCACGTCATGTTAACACCAAGTGCCTGTCTGAAATGCTCGTATACTACATAACTAATCGATACAGCCGGAGCTACCTAGAATAAGAAATATCTTATTTAGTCTATTTAAGATGTGAGAATATATGCGTGGCTTCGATTTCAAGATCTTACCTTAAGAAAATTCGGAGTTATTCCTCGATACAAACCGCGAATACCCTCTCTCTTGAGAATATCTTTGAAAACTCCGATCATGGTATTCGCGTCACTTCCCGTTGATATTTCGGCTTGTAATTTAGTTCTGACTAGAGCTAACGGATACGAGCACACTTGACCTGCAGTGCTGGAGGCTGTACCACACAACAAAAGCACCCAAAAAGCTGGTTGCTCGTTTTTCATATGCGTTCGTAAATAACTATTTTTTAGTGTCTGCGAACAAATGATGAACGTCGTTATTATTATTGTTATGAAAATCGTGCCAAATAAGAAAAATCTAGTGAACAAATAAGTCTTCTTACCAATTGAAACTAGGAAGGAAAATGTACTTACTTCGTATACAGCCAAATCAATTCCGGCATAAGGAAGAATTCCAATTAAATTGGGAATGTAGCCTCTATAAAAAGATTTCCAACCACCTTGCTTGTATATCTTATTCGCTGCATCGATTATACTCGAGAACTCACCCGTTTTCCGAAGGGCCAGTCTCGTTTTGAGTACCTGAAACGCGGAAAACAGGAGGATAAATGATAAACGATTCATTCATTTTGATTAATACTGCGGTAACAAAAAAATAGTTCTAAAAAATCAAAATGTGATCTTTGTACCTCAAGAGGATATATAGCAGATTGACTAATACCACCGGCCATAGATCCAGCCACGAATCTCTCGTAGAGTCCAAGTTCTCTAGTGTCATTGCCTTTGATAGCTCTCTTTACTTGTTCGTAGGCCATGAACTTTAGGGCAGTCTCTGGTCCTATTTTAAGTACGTTTATACCGTTCCCTCTCCACAAACTTGTAACACCACCTTCGCGTAACATGTACCTGAAGCAACTGCTAATGTTACAATGCCGTGTTCCATGAACCTAAAATAATAGAGTGGTGTGCTTTATCTGTGTTCTTACTAGTATTTAGACTACCTTTGATTCGTATATCAAATGAGTAATAAATTAAATAAAAAAAATTAATAATGTGAAAATAACATATAACAAAATAACACACATACCTGGAGGTAAACTTTAATCCTATCCAAAGGTGCTGTGCATGTTCGTGAAACTCCACCAGCGATACCACCAGCTAACAAATGTCGCCACCACATTCCTGAGACCATTTCACTGTTCGTGAAATCATCGGGAACTCCCATATCCTCTCCGATATCCATGTACTGTAAAATTCAAGAATCCGATAATAGAAGATACGTGCATGTATATAATGTGTATATGTATATGTATATTATTTCTATACATATTTTTTCTTATTTATAATATGATTAGTATTTAATGAACCAACCGAAAGGATTATTTCCGACTATCGTTAGTGGAAAAATTTGAATAAATTATACATAATGACCGTTTCTCCCTATTTCTATAGCTAATATTAAGAAAATCGTACGGAAATAGTGTCATCTTGTTCAATTCTTCTTTCTCACTTTCCTACCTTTTTTTTTTCTCAAAGAAGCAAAATAAATATTTTATTTCCATGACTTTCTATTTAACGATGGTTTAATATGATCTTCGTTATTTAATATAGTATACTATATATCGTCTTGACGGAAGATGTTTATTTTAATTGTAAGGTAATATCAAAGAAATCGCTGCTTATATAAAATTTGACATTTAAAAAGAATTTTTGAAAGGAATCATCAAGTTTTCACTTTTAAGGCCGACATCAATTTACAATATACGACATGTTTATTACAAATTTCGACAAATTATTCATATTAGCAAACTGAATCGTTCAAATTCTGCAATTGGTAAATATAGGAAAATTTGTCGATAGTCTAGACGAGACACAAATGTTTAAAGAATCTTCATCGTTGATCCAAGTGCACGCGCGCGGTTGCCTGCGACCACCACGTGATTCGTATATTCTTCGCACCTATGCGTCTATAGCTGCAAATAAATATCAGGCGACCGTTCTCGTTATTTCTTCATTTATATTCAAATCAAATGTAAGCTTTCTCTTGGACGTAAATCGAAATAAAATATAATGCGACATTATGAGATGTAGCTAGAAAAAAATCACTTGGCTTATTTCCTAATCGAGCTCAAAGGGTAGTACTTAACTTTATGTAGAATTCGAGCAATATATCACTATCCAAATTATCAAGGTTCTCCATAATGTTCTTCTTCTTTTTCTTCTCTTCTTCTTTTATTGTTCAACAAGAAAGGAAATGAAATCTCTCGGAAGACGCAGAGTAACTCAAAGTGCATTCAAAGGACGACTAAAAAGAACGAAACTTGAAAGTCGAATCTTTCATGATGGTGACGGGCGGGCGAATGGCCAAAAACGAATTACTTGGTGTTACGCCCAATGTCGGTTTTTACCTTCCTATTCATCTAACTAACTATTTCTCTTTCTCTGTCTTTATACGAGTATCTACCTATCTATCCTTCTATCTTTGTCAAATATATCTATAGATCCTCCTTTTTCACTCCTGATTACGCGTGAGACACAACTCGAGCGATTATTTCAAATCTTCTCGAAATCTGGGCAAAACAACGGTGCAAGAAAGGTGGAAACGTTCGAGAACATGTCAAACTTTATATAAATTACTTTTAAATAGTACAAAAAAGAATTCTTTTGATCGCATTAAAAAAGAAAAGAAGAAAAAAAAAAGAATTGTAAACATGTAATAATATCGAAAGAAAATCGAGATGAAGTATCGGATAATGATATCATCTGGCTACTATCAATGACCGACGTATAATTCGATACGCGCGTTAACTATGGATATCCGTACAGAACAATCTGGAAGTGATATCATGAGTCTTGAATATAATATCCATGCTTTTTCGCGTAAACTATAAAATAACAAGAGTATTAAGAGACGTTGAAGAGTAGGGATAAGGAGGGGGTTTATCCCCTCCTTGATGGGGGATAAAAAGGACATTAAACAAAATTACATAGGTATCTTCAGGTTTACATTATTTTACATTGACGCAAAGAAAAGGAAGAGCCCCATGGAGCTTTCACCGACTTTCTACATTTGGCACACCATAGAAATACACATTCTTTGAAAAGTTCTTGTTTTTACCTCTACAAGCATTCGGCGCTAAGTACGTTATTCTTAATACACAGAGAAGCACTCACTCGTTGTAAAAGCTCATGATAACCTTGAAGAAATTCTTCGCAGACTTGATACTTGGATGGAATACTTTCTTGTCTTAGCATGACGAATCCCTTGTGATAATCTTTAGGCTTCATGTGAAAAAATCTTGTTAAAAACTATACAAAAAACGAACCAAAATGAACGGCCGGACAAATCTTGCACTTTTTTATTCCATAACTTTTTTTTCTTCTTCTTCTTAATTTAATAGGAGAAGTGATCAAGAAGGCAATTGCAAAATTGTTGAACCGAAGATCTAACAATCCTACAACTCTAAGCACGTTCTCGTCGCGACTGAGGCTTACGTTAGCTATAGAAAGGAAGTTGATCACATGCTTTCCCGAGAAATCCCTACTCTTCGTTTATCGTTTATCCCTACTCTTCCCTAACGACTCTCGACATAGTCATGGGTATTGAAATGGGAGGAGAGATGAGAGAGAGAGAGAGAGAGAGAGAGAGAGAGAGA